TTTTGTGATATGTGAATTATGTCTCAAGAAACATATATATATACATATATGACACTACCTCATTATGTTGAAATGTAAGACGAGTCTCCATTTTCTTAGGGAGAAGAGCCAAAAGATTTCTTGCCAACATGAACAAAACACATTTTACTCAACAATGCCAAATTTTCCTTCAAAATTATCTTCAAAAAAAACAAAGGCAAAGCCATACAGATCTCACACGTCGGACTTCCCTTGTGGGACAAGCTCTGCTTTTGACAGTGAGGACAAGGACCTTTCTCACACATGACTTTGCTTTCCTCTCCTGAGAGTAGGCACTAGTGCTTCCCCCTGCCCAGCACCCGCTGTACTCATCGCTCACCCGTGGATTTCCCCTCTGGCGGCAATTCCCCCCTCACTCTCAAGCCCGTCAGCCTAGCTTTCCAGAGCCGAGAGGTGGATGCATTCCCGTCTTCTGGTCTGTTTTCATTTTGCTTCTGGTGCGCAAGAACCCTAACTTGGTCTTTTCAGATATACAGAGACTGGACATCACTGTCTTGATTCTCCCATAGCAGACAAGATCCCTCAGGGTTGTCCAGATCGTGAAAAAAGACTCCCAGATGACAAGGTCGTGACACGAACACCACTACTTTCATGGGGATCTTTGGAACTTTCTTGGTAATTATTGCCTTAAATGATTCCTTGGATTCCAACTAAGCAGAAGCATACAGTTTCTTAGGAGAATACAAGGAAAAACAAATGGTATTCCCCTTCTCAAGAAACGCATTTGGTGTGAATGTGGAGCAGATCAGAGGACAGGCTCAGGAGAGGACATTTAAAGCTGACTAGAGGCAGAGACACCCAGTCGAGGGAATTCCTCTGACCTACAGGGAAGGCCCCGTTGGTGACAGGCATTGAAGTAGGCATTGAGCACCGGTATTGACAATCTAGTCCTATCTTCTCTGATGAAGATATTCAGATTTCGAGAGAGAAAGTGACTTGACTAGCAGCTACCTCGGACTGGAGACTTCTTTCCTCATTCCCAGTTCAGTGCTTATCTCACCAGTTTGTAGTCACATGGTTGACCTGAGCTGGCTCGGCCAGGTTTCAGGGAGTTGGGGGAGGAACAATATCTGGGCTTTGGTAAATAGTTGCCTGGGGAAATATATCTCACAAGGCCACCTGAGAAATCAGCAAGTAATTGGGGCAGCTTCTAGCAGTTTTAGTCACTTTTTTGTTCCTTGGATTTTCCTACTGAGGAGACTGACCCGAGCTGGCACTACAAAGGGACTGTCAGTGTGTGAACCTCCCAAGCTCCTCCAGTTTCTAAGGAGCTTGGCAAACTGACCTCTGTCACTTGTATGACCTTTTTCCTGTGAGTAATTCAGTGAGCTGCAGTTACGTCGTCTGTACCTATATCAGTCAGATGCCCTAAGCAGAGTGTGAGGAGGAAGTCCAATGATTTATTTTAGCTGGAACTTGCTGGAGGCAGGAAGGGTCTTTTTCAATGTAAAAAGTATGCATTACAGGTTCTGGGATGGAGAGAGAGAGAGAGAATATTGGGCCTGGGTGCTGTTCTTTTGGGTAGAGGAGGAGAGGGAATGTCCCACCAAGCTGTGCTTTTCACCATTAATGGGCATAATCAGTTTAACCAAAGTGTAGAGAAACCTTCCCATATTTCAGAAACAGCCCCCCTCAAATAAGACACAATCCTTGCTTGCATGAAGAAACAGGCAAGCACAAGGTTGATCCATTTCACAGAAAGGGGTCACAGGTAAGCCCTGAACATCACAGGGCACAGGGGAGGGACATGCATCCCCCTGGGCTTCAAGGAAGCCTTTCAGAGGACATACAAAGGTGTCAGTAAAGAAACCTGCAAACCTCACAGGCAAGAGAACCGTGCGCACAAAGGCGTGGAAGCTGGGTGTGGGGAAACAGAGGTGGATGGTGTTACTAGAGTAGGTAGGAGCAGTGAGATGGGAAGTGTGGGGGAGATAACACAAGGCAGGGTGTGTGTGGGGAGATAAGCTATGGGAAAGGGCATGGTCTGTACTCTAAGCAGGAAGGGAAGTGCTAGGGGAACTCCAGATTCACCACAGATAGATCCCTGTAACGTAGACTTAGAGAAGCCAAGATCAGGGACAGCGAAGCAACTGGAAGACGGTAAGAGCCTGTGCAGGGAGTTCATGGGAAGGAACTGCCTGGTCTGTGAAAGCAGCCAGGAGATGGATGAAGATGGCAAGAGGGCAAGGGGGAAGCCCAGTGCCTGGAAAGCTCCCAGGCTTTGAGGTGGGCTTGAGCAGATGAGGCAGCCATGGGGTGAGGGAGGAAGTACAAGGAAGGGAAACGAGTGTGAGAGAGAAATGGTGGCGGCTAACTTTCATTAATCACCAATATGCACCAGGCACCATGCCAAGAGTTTCTCTTAACTCTTTGGAATAGACAGCGCTTTTGGTTTACAGATGAGAGAATGAGATTCTGAGATGTTGAATGCCTTGGCTAGATACAAGCCTTCCAGGGCAGGCTTGAAATGCAGGTATGTGAGGCGCCTGAGGAGAATGTGGGATGTTAGGATACCCCACAGTGCAAAGGTCAGGTCACCAAGCGCTGGGGTCATGTTAAACAAAACCAAAACCGCATGGATGTGAATGAAACTGCTACGCAGTGACTATCCTGAAATTAAAAAGGCAAGAGAACCACAAAGGAGACCAAAATAATCACTCTCTCTTACTCTGCTGCCCGGGCAACAGAAACTTGGGCCATGACACTGAGTGGTATCCAAACATCCACCAAGTAAAGCCAACATATTAATTATGAGTTAGTATATTACATACTAATTATTCTGAACAGTATGGGAAGTGAGCATCCCAAGTGACAGCTTAACTCGCTGTGCCAGAAAGTTTGCCCTAAGATGAGTTATTATGAAAGCATACCATGCGGGGGGGGGGGGTGCAATGGCACAATTGGGTAATCCTCCCCTTGTAAGCACTGGGATCCCATATGGATACCAGTTCATGTCCTGGCTGCTCCATTTCCCATCCAGCTCCCTGCTTGTGGCCTGGAGCAGTGGAGAATAACCCAAAGCCTTAGGACCCTACACCCACATGGAAGACCTGGAAAAAGCTCCTCCTGGCTTTGGATCTGTCAGCTCTAACTGTTGCAACCACTTGGGGAATCTGAACCAACAGATGGGAGATCTATTTTTCCTTTCTGTAAATCTGCCTTTCCAATAAAGATAAACATGTTCTGATGAACAAGTCTCATTGATCTCCCTAGAGTGTGTAGCTCTTGTCACACACATAGCCCTACACATTTCTTCAAAGTTAAACACCTTGGTTCCTGTTCGCTGAAGTTCTCCAGCATCCATCCTAGACAGGGACTAACTATTCCAGTGAAGGAGAGCAGGCTGAGGAAATACTCACACCTCCCTCTGGCTTACAGTTACCTCTGCACACACCGCTTGGTCACTGGCTTGTTCCAGGGTGCACAGGTTAACATGTGCAGGCTGTGCTTGAACTCTTGCTTACCCCCTCAGTTAGACGCCTTTGTGCAATGAACCACCTGCACAGCTGTACATGGCTGTTATCTCCTTCAGGGCAGGGGGTGGGAAGCTCATGACCACTGGGGACAAAGGTACTAGCTCTTGTTCTCTAAGCAGTCCATGTGATGAGCTCTGCCAAAGCGTTAAGCTTTTCTCGGCCTGTCTCTTCTCTCCCTGCATGGGCCCCATACCCCACTCACAGACACACAGGTTGACACCAGACTACTACCCCTGATGTGAGGGGGACACCCCAGGCCGGGCCTGTTCATCTGGAATGCTCTAGAGCAGAACAGGTCAGGGCCAAAGCAAATCATGATTCGGAGCAAGAGAGAGAGAGAGAAAGAAGGGAATGGGAGCTATCCCTGGCAGCTTCTTCATCCAATGCGCACTCCCAGCAGCCCTTTAGGCAGACTCTTCCTGCAAGGAATAGTCCTGGCAAGGACACGGTGGATCGCATGCCAGGCACACTCCCAAAACCCACACACCAACAGCCCCGGCTCCTACAGTCCCTCCCGCCAGCTGAGGCTCAGCAGCCTGGACGCACCACTCTCCAGCCTAGGCTGATCCGAGTTGCTCCTGCTGGACTATGGAGTGAGGGATGTGGCTGAGGTGATGGCTTAAGGCTCCTCACAGCTCTGATGGGTTTATGGCTTGCACCTCCAGGGGCTTCCGCCGGCCCCTCTTGTTTAACAGGACACGTTAGAGGACCAATGGCCAGGACAGGGCTCACTGTCACTCCTCACCAGAGGGATCCAAGGCTGGAAACGTGTGGAGGTCTGCATACCCTCGCCATGTTGCTCAGCGTCGGCCTTCACTGCTCTGGGCGAGGGACACTGGCTGAGGCCCCAGTCGGGAGTTAAGGTCCTGCCTTGTGTCAGCCTGGAACAAAGGCCGAGCCGGAGGGGGAAGGGACCTTTACCTCACCACGGAGCTGGCGTGGCCTTCCACGCCTTCTACAGATGTGGGGGGAGGGAGAGGGTGTGCTGTCACTCCCAGGGCCTGCCTTTCCTCGCCCCTTTCCCATCTGCTCCCTGGGCCCGCGCTCTCCATCCCCCTCCCTTTTTTCTCTTTGGGACTGGAAGGGTCCCCACGACCCTCCCTCAGCTCCTCTCCTCCGGCCCGGCCTCTTCATCCCTTTTCAGGCTTGACCTCTGCAGGCCTGCTGGAAGAGGTCTGTCTGCATTCTTTTCCTTTTCTCTCTTGAGACCACAGCCCCATCCCTCCCCCCTCCCCTCCCCTCCCCCCCACCTCAGTAAACCCCTGCAGCTCCTCTCTCCCCACCCCCTCCCTCCGCCCCGAGGCATTGTGGGAGGAAACAAGATGTGGGGCGAGAGCGGCGCGGGGAGAAGCCCGCAGTGCGGGGCCCGGCGGGCGCAGCCAATGGGGAGAGCGGACGGCGGCGCGCGCCGCGGGGGGGCGGGGGCGGGGCGCTATTTCAGCGGGGGCCGCGCGTCAGCCTGGCTCAGCGGCCGGGCGGAGCGGAGCGGCGAGGCGTCAACGCGGAGCGAGCGGCGGGCGGGCCGGCGGCGCGAGGAGGAGCTCGGGTGTCCGGGGCGGCTGGAAGGGCGGAAGGCGGCGGCGGCGGCAGCAGCGAGCGCTCGGCCCGGGCTGCTGGAGCCAAAGACCGCAGCGGCGGCGGCTGCTGCTGGAAGAGCCCAGGGGACACCGCCCCTGCCCGCGCTCAGCCTCAGACCATCGCTGCTCCCCAGGGGCCCGTGCGGACCTCCGTGAAGGTGAGCGGTGGCTGGGTGTCTGCGTGCGGTGCCAGGGGGTCCTGCGCTTCGTGCTCGTGTCGATGGGTCTTCCCACGCCGTTGCCTTGGCCCCGAGGCCTGGAGCCAGCTGGCGCCACCACCCTCGGTATTGGCGGCCCTGCCAGTCGCCGCCGGAGATGAGGGGGGCCCTGGGTGACCGCCGGGCTGCCGAGTTAACGTCCCCCTCCCCATCCCCCTGCCATGGAATCTGCCTGTGCAGCCTGGAGGTCTCCGGTGTCTGGGGCCGAAGGAGAGGGGGTGGCGAGGGCTCGGGCGTGACGCGGCCCCTCCCGCCGCCACCCTCTGGGGCGTCCTTCCTGCGGCGAGGACGCTCAGTCACTCCAGGCCGGGCGGGGGAGGGCGGCCGGCTGCCCGGGGCCTGCGGACCTGGCGGACCTGGCGGGGCGGCGCGGGCGCCCGGTCGGGGAGGGAGCAGGATGCTTTCTCATCCGCCTTCCCCGCCCCCCAAACACCACCACCAGGAGCGCCTTTTGAGATCCGCGGCTTTTGGGGAGGGTTGGATGGTGCGGAAAGATACAGCACCCATGGCGATCTGAAGCGAAGGAATGATGGAAGCATTTGTGTGTGTGTGTTGGCGAACGGGGAGGGTGGACCCAGACATTCCAAGGGTTAGCTTTTTGGCGGGGGGAGGTAGGAATCACAAAACCGGCCCTAGAGGACAGGAGCTACTCCGCAGTGTCTCCTTCGCTGTCCAAAGGAGCCCCGCCTCGTGACTGGGCGCTGGCCCCAGGCCCTGTGGCCATCCTTGTGCCTGGAGGCCCAGGTCCACTGCGTTTTCCCCAGGGGTGGGGGCTAAGCTGGACATCTCCCTAGCCCCTCCTCGCTGGCACCTTGGACAGGGGTGGTTGAGGCTGGGCCTCACCCCTCCGAAGCCTGGGGGTCAGGGGTGAAGAATCGTGGCTTTGTAGTCACAAGACCAACATTATGTAACCACAGGCTCTCTCCTGGAGGGTAAGGTAGCTTTTTAATGACTGTGACAAAGTTGTTCCTTTGGACCTCAAAGCGGAGGCAGTGGAGCAGGTGATTTTGCCGGCAAAATGGTGCCAGTACTGCGTCGTCCGTCACTGGGTCCCACCCCAACTCCCCCATCCCCAGGTTTGTAAACAGTGCCCCCTTCTGAGAGGTACCCTGCTGGAGGCCACCAGGTGATTTCTCCACATACAAAGGAGCTTTATATCAAAACCTTCCTGTGTTTCCAGTGTACCTTCCTTCAAATTTTGCTTTGACGTTGCTACATTGATCTCATTTTAGCCTTAGGTTCTACAATGAAGATGTTCATTTGCCCAAGGTCACTTAGCTCTCCTTGCTTCAGTACCTTCCCCCCGACCTTTGCCCAGCCCCGGAGGTTGCTGGGCTACAGACTCTTTCCTCTTGGTGTCTGATTAGTTTAGCAGACCAAGGTGTCCCCGAGGCGATTGAGGGCTGCCTGCTGGCCCTTGGCGTGCAATGTGCTGTGGGCATCTGATGCACGCCAAAATTCTGGTTTGAGTTTTTTTCCCTTTCTACCTGTCCTACCCACCCTACAGGTTGGTGAGGGTGACACAGGGTTCTCTGACAATTGGGCAGGCTGGCCGGAGGGTGGTGCGAGGGGTTTGTTCCTGTTGTGTATAAAGGGACTGTGGCCACATTCCTCTCTGCTCCTGCAGAGTGTCTCATGTGCTGCGCACGGTGGCGTGAAGCCTGGCTGCCGCTTCCGACTCATGCCATCCTACATGATAGGAATGGTTGGTGACCAAAGGACGAATGCCCTGGCCGAGAGTAGGGATATGACACAGGGCTATTAAAGCAATAACAATTCTACACTTCAACAAAGAAAACACCTCTCTTCCTCCCATTCCTGTGTCTTTTTTCTAAGAGAAAGACTTCATTTCTGTGGGGAAAATAACATCTTACTTTTAACATACTACCTTTTATTTTACCTAGTAGATTGGTACTTTTTGAAAGTTTGATGAGTAAAAATCTGACGTAAGGAAGCAGAGATCCAGGAAAATGACAGTATTGGAGCTGAGTCTCAGATCTGGAGTTTTCAAACATGTTTTGAAGAATGAGTGCTGTGGCTGTGGGGAAGCCGAGGATGGCCTGGGACCGCCATGGTGGCCTGTGTGTGTGGTCCCAGTGGTATCTGCTCCGCTGGTATTGGTGGGTTTACCCCTTTTGTTCGTGTGGAACAGAGGTGGTGGCTTTCTTGTGAAGAGCCCAATAGTCTCTTGCTGGTATTCAGCCCTGCCATTGTAGTACATTCCCATACAACTCTGTTTTATGAAAACAGATGGTGGACTGACTCTGCCTATGGCGGCTTCCTCTGTAGACTGTTTGCTGTAGCTTTCTCGTCACCAATGAATCCCACTAACAGCCGCCGGTAGACAGCTATCCTCTTGGCTGAAAGGGAAGAAAGTTAACACAGAAAGGCCAAGTGCCTTGTCCCGAACCACAAGAACTCAAAGTAATGATGGTTGTTAAATCAGTGGTCTATTCTATTTACCACTTGATCTATCTTTAGGACAAGCTGGATTCCTCATTTTACAAATGATCACATGAAAGGCCAAAGGTGAAGTAATTTCCTCTAACTAGTATGTGATCGCATCTTGGCTGTCTGCAAAATATTAGAACTAGGTAAATTTTAGAATTGGAAAAACCTCATTTTATGTATGATAAAATGGGTGGTTTATTATGTCTTTTTGCTTTTTATCCCAGGAGTCCAGGCCTGTGCTAAAAGCTTAGGCACTGCCTGTCCTAATGCCTCATGCCTCTCATGCTACCCTCCCCTTCTGTATCCCCATCATGCGCTGAGGCCCACATCTAGTACCTAGTGTGTTCATTGCCCAGAGCGTGGAGTTTTCAGCCTCACCTCTCTCCTGCAGTGTCACGATGTCTGACCGGAAGGCAGTGATCAAGAACGCGGACATGTCTGAGGACATGCAACAGGATGCTGTTGACTGCGCCACGCAGGCCATGGAGAAGTACAACATAGAGAAGGACATTGCTGCCTATATCAAGAAGGTGCGTGCACCAGGAGAGCTGTGGCTGATGGCCAGGGGTGGAGATTGGCTGCCAGTCCTTGCTCTAGTGCAGTAAGGCTTGAAACTAGCGGCATAAGAAAGCAAGCAAATTGAAATGCAGACAAAGTTGGGGAGTGATTTTGAATTACTGAAGTGTTTACTTTAGGTGTTCCTTTTTTTTTTAACTGGAAAGTCAGATGTATAGAGAAGAGGAGAAACAGAGAGGAATATCCTCCATCGGATAATTCACTCTCCCAAGTGACTGCAACGGCTGGAGCTGCACCGATCCGAAACCAGGAGCCCAGAGCCTCCTCTGGGTCTCCCACATGGGTGCATGGTCCCAAGGCCTTGGGCCCTCAACTGCTTTCCCAGGCCACAAGCAGGGAGCTGGGAAGTGAGGCCACCAGGATTAGAACTGGCACCCATATGGGATCCCAGTGCATACAAGGCAAGGACTTTAGCCGCTGGATCACTGTGCTGGCCCCTGTTTAGGTGTTCTTAATAGGAAGTCTGTTGATGGGGGCCGAGAGGGGTTACTAATGGTTATAGGAAATGTAGTTACAGAGCACTGGAGAAGGATAAGACTATGCAGAGAAGCTTAGGAATTGAATCTTCCTGGCCCAGATCAGACCTTTTAATGATTAAGATCAAGGATATTTGGATGAATAAGGTAAGATTATATGTGCATTATCAGAACTGTATCATTTAAAGTGGAACATCCCAATGCTAACACTCAGCAGTAAGCTGATGAAACACAGCACTGCAGCATCGCCTTCCCTGTATAGTCTTTCCGTATATAGAAAATCAGAGAGTTTTGTTGTTGTTTGTTTTTTTTAATGGGTGAGTATATTGGTGTAATAGATTCTATCCCTGAAATATTCCTGAGTAAATAGTTGAGTAGATGTTGGAAGGCGGCTGAGGCAGGAGGAGAGGGTACTGGGTACTCTTCGTTTGAACCAGAGTCCCAGTCTTTTTTTTTTTTTTCTTTCTTTCTTTCTTTTGTTCTTTCGTTCTTTCTTTCTTGATTCATTTATTTTCATTCGAAAGTCAGATCCACAGAGACGAGAGACAGAAAGATTCTCTGTCTGCTGGGCACCCCTCAGTGGCCGCAGTGGCCAAAGTTGAGCTGATCTGAAGCCAAGGCCAGCATCTAGGAGCCTCTTCTGGGTCTTCCATATGGGTACAGAGTCCCAGGACCCTGGGCCATCCTCCACTGCCTTTCCAGGCCACAGGCAGGGAGCAGGATAGGAAGTGGAACATCTAGGACATGAAACAGCACCCACATGGGATCCTGGTGCATCCAAGACGAGGGTTTAGCTGCCAGGCCACAGTGCCGGTCCCAGTCCCAGTCTTTAGTATTCTCAGCTCCAGGATTCCTTACAAGAGGGGTGGGTGTGTGTGTGAGAGAGAGAAAATATGAATAAGTTGGAATAGATAGAATTGGCATTGGGGTCCCTTTGACTTTTACAGGCTGTTTTCTTACCCAGATGAAATAAGAGGCTCTGGAGTTGAGCTACTTGTGTGAGGAGCCAAGGAATGCAGAGCCAGCTGGGGGTACTGGCTCCCTGCTGAAGGAGGACTTAGCTGTCTGAGTAGAAAACTCAAAGTCAGGGGCTCTGAGAACCAACAGAATCCTTAGTGTCTGGCCCAGATTTCTTGTTGAGTGGGAACTTGAGACCCAGGGAAGTAACTGGACTCAGTATGACAGGTCTCAAGCCAGAATTGATGCTTACTTTGTTTCCTGTTAGCACCACTTAGACTTAGTCCGTGTAACATGAGGGCTGTGAAGAAGCTGGCAAGTTGTCTGTTGAGCACTGTGGGAGTGAGGAGACACGACAGAGAGCCCTGAGGTTCACAGCCCCTTTCATGATCACGGCAGGACATATCTGGACCGGGGCCTGCAGGCCGAGCCCTAGGGTGGCAAGGATCTCTGGGTGGCTTTACTGCTGAGCACAGGCTCCCCGAGAGAAGGGAGGGAACTGCTTTGATCTGCGGCTTAGTTCCTTTTCTGGGGAATGTGGCCCCTGCTGCTTGGCACACTGCAGCTCCTTTAGCACTGACTTACACAGTATTCTCTTACACTCCTGACATTTAGACCTGGTTTTGCTCTAGTGCCTTGGTTTTTAGCATTTAGAAATGCTGCTTTAGTCATGTGGATCCCCATTTGTATCAAAGTAACTGGCACTTTATTCTACCAGCTTCTGATTGTTTTGCTAAAGAATCCCAGGGTGGGCTACTGGTGGTGTGAGGGGGTGGCTGGAGGGTTTAGAGCACAGGAGACTCAGAGAGGAAGAATGGAGCCTTTGTGAGGTTCCATTATTCATGAGGGGAAGAGTGGCCTGGCCAGTGTCAACCTGAGCTGCTGGGGCCATGGGCTTAGGGGGTGGGTGGGGTACAGGGGAGACATTCTGATTTCTCATCTTCCAGCTTCAGGCCCTAATCACCTCTCTGCCCTCTTATCTTTTTTAGGAATTTGACAAGAAATACAATCCTACCTGGCATTGTATCGTGGGCCGAAATTTTGGCAGCTACGTCACACATGAGACAAAGCACTTCATCTATTTTTACTTGGGTCAAGTTGCAATCCTCCTCTTCAAGTCAGGCTAGGAGGCTGTGGCTGTGGTGTCAGTGGTGGCGGCGGCGATGGCAGCAGGCGGCGTTGCTGGGACTGTTCTTGCACTGGGGCCAGCATCAGGATGTCCTCTCCAATGGCTGTGCTACTGCATGGACTGTATACTCGATTTCATGTGTATGTCGCAGTAAACAAAACCAAACTCCTTTCTGTTTAGTTGCCTGGGGAAGAAGGCTGCTTTATGTTTATTTTTCAAGATTTAAAAAAAAAAAAATTATTTTGGTTGTGTTGCACTAGGAAATCTCTCCCTGCCTCCCTTTTCTTTTCTTATTTTTTTTTTCTCTCCTTACACAAAATAAAAGCCCTTAACAAAAGACAAGGAGGACTGAGGAAAAGAACTAGGTCTGGAGGTGGAGCTAAAACTGCAGCCACCTCTCCCTGTAGGCTGCTGCTCGGGAGGGCCTGGGAGGCTGCCGGGGGACAGCGTGAGGCTCAGCAAGGAGAGGAACAGAAGGGAGGGTGGGGGGCGCTCTAGTACCAGGGAGACTATTCCACTGAACTGTGATTTTACAGCTTGGGGGCAGAGGGTGGGGAAGGGTGGGGGTTGGATTCTTTAAGGGGGCCCCAAGATGTATTTGTCTGTGGTGTGTGGGAGTAGGGAGCAGACTTGTCATGCTGTCTTTGTCAGAATTTATAAGTAAGGGCTGTGCGTCTTCGTGGAGTGTCTTCAGTTCTTCCTACCAGAGATGATGTTAGGAACATGTTGGGGGTCAGATTTGCTCGACATTTTCCCTTTACATTCTTTTCTTGCCTTCCGTCTGCTCCCTGCTTAGCCCTCAGTTTTCTCATTCCTCTGGAGTTCTCTTTGAGCAGCCCTTGTTGTTAGTTGGCTGGCAAGGGAATTTCTGATCACTAGTTCTTAGTTAGCTGTTAGCAATCAAACCAAATCAGTGGTTCCCTTGATTATCCTGTGTGTACATGTGTTTGTGTGTGTGTTTGTGTATGTGTGCACATGTGTGCGTGGGTTTGGGGTAGAGGGGCGGGAGGGGGCAGGACAGTATGGAATCTCAAAAGGCATTGGTTAGGAACCTCTGGAGATGGTTGGGGGTAAAGACGAGTGTCACCCCTTCCCTCAGTCATGTAGCCCAGACACTTTGCCCATATGGCCAACTGATTCCTGGGAAGGCTTTAGGAGGACCCGCAGAGAGAGGGAGGGCCACACCCCATCTCCCCTGGAGCTTGTCTCAGTAGGTCGTTACAGCCTCTGGGAGGTGGGGATGGAAGATGGAATTCAAAAACAGAGGAAAAAGAAGGGAAAGTTTGGAAGGTCATCTTGGAGTGGTGACGCCAGATACTAGCACAGGGCTGTGTATGGGAGGAGATTCCAAGCAACACGCAAGGGAATTCTTGTCTGCTGGTGACATAGAAATGGGGTGGGGTTGGGGATAGTCATTGGTGATTGAGCTGCTGATTCTCATGACATTCAAAACTCATGTGTAAGGTTGACATTGGGGGTGGGGTGGGGGATCCAGCTCATTTTTACTTTTCCAAGTCCATTCTTGGGGCTGGAGGGGAAGCAGGAGAATGCGCCCTCCCCTAACTAGGTTGTGCTGACCTTTCTCTGTGATGCTGGCAGGGGAGGGTGGACCCTGGGATGGTGACTAAGTTCTGCTATCAAACCCTTCAGTGGGCACAAGACTTGAGTGCTTGACTTTAGGTTTTATTTTTTTATGAATGTCCAAATCTGTGTTTGGAAGTGTCTGGTTTGTGTTCATCTCCCTCATTTCTGGAGCAGGGCGAAGACCCTGCCACATCTCTGCTCCGCATCCATGCCTCTTTTGGACATTAAAGGTCGTTTGATGCACCTCTGAGCTGTTTGGGTTTCTTTGGGGGTGAGGGACTGGTCTGGTGGCAATGGTGTCACAAATGGGTGGGGCTGGAAGAAGGCTAGTGGGGAGTAGAATGGGGGCTAAAGTTAAAAGGCAAGAGTAGCCAATTATCCTGCCTAAATCAGGTGTCACTTCTAGGCCTAAGCTTATGGCCCTTAAATGCGAGAGTGGATCAGCAGGCCTCTCCTGCCCCCAGTGATTCCTCCCCCAGTTCTGCCTTTTTGGAGAGAGTTAGCCAGGGAAGACACATTATCAGACTGGGATAAGGGATGCTGCCTTCCCTTCCGCCATGCTGCACTGCCTTAACTTCTCAGACCCTGGCCAAAGCTATAGCCCTTCTGGTCCCCTTTCTAGGGTTCCTGAGCCTGGAAATTTAAGCTGAGTCCTATTATAACCACTTAGAAGTAGAAAAATGGGATCCAGTTGCAGTAGAAGCGAAAGTAATGCTTTGATTTCTGTGTCATGCCAGTTCTGCCACTTGCAGTTCCGGTCTCCACACATATCTGGAGAAAATACCAGCCCAATCCTACCAAAAGCCACCAGTGTCCGAGCTTAATGGCTACCTGGGGAGGTGTTGGGAAGCCACAAGAGCTTTCCTGTGTTCTGTGGCTGTCCTTGTGTTGCAAGCAGTGATGTGGATATCCTGTATCAGAGTGCTGGGTCAAGTGCAGCTACTCAGCTTCTGGTCTAGCTCTCTGTTAATGTGTGTATGAAGGCAGGAGAGAAAGCCCGAGTGAGTCCTTGCACCGGTGTGAAAACCAGGATGGAGTTCTGGGCTCTCGAGTTGCATCTAGCCCAGCTCCTGCTGCTGTGACCGTTTGTGAGCCAGCAGATAGGAGATCTGTCTTTCCCTTTATCTGTCACTCAGCTCAGATATTAATTTAAAAAATTGGATATGTAAATACACATACATAAATTGACAAAGATTTTATATACTTACACCTAAACACAAAGGAGACTGGCAAGTTCTGAGCATTCCAATAGGTAACACCACCACACAGGCTTCCAACAATGACTAGGTTAGTAAGCAAAAAACCCAGACTGAACTATGTAATGTTGGAAGTGGTTAGATAAGGCTCCTTCAGGTAGAAAATTCTTTGGCATGTCTTGGAATAAGATAATGTGGGACTCGAACCCCACCTTAGTGTTGCCACCTTGGTTCTGTGACTAGCTCAGCAGCTGGCCTTGGGAGTGAATCCACGGTTAATACTTCATTTGCAGTGGGCATTTCCAGGGCCCAAACTTGTCCACTTCCTGCCCCAGTGAAAGAGGCAGTCCTGATGGCTTCAGTGGACAATATTCCTGCCCTGGTAAGTGCTCATCTGGAAAGCTGGTCGTACAGGACTTCCTGGAGGAGAGGACCCCTCCCCCCTTTACCCCACATGTAGAGCCCTGAAGAGGAAGGATGTGAGGTTAGGTCACAAGGCTGTGGAAGGCAGATGGGAACTTCCTGCAGCCACTCAGAACTGGCCTGGCGGAAAGTGGGTGGAAGCATCGCCGATTCTAGCCGGAGCTCCAGCTAGCTGGATCCAGCCCAGAGGCAGACAGGTCAAATGTAGTCCTTCAGGGTCAACCCCCACTGCAGGAAAGAAGAATGGAGAGGAATTGCTGCCCTGGTGCTCAAATCTAGCCCCTGTCTCCTAAGCTACTCCCTCATTTCCTTGAGATCTTCAAACTTCAGAGGCGCTTCTGACATCCTGTGTAAAGACTGAAAAAGAGAGGGAGAGATGGAGCTATCCAACCACTGACTTTTCCCCAAATGGCCACCATAGTCAGGGCTGGGCCAGACCTAAGACAGGAGCTTCATTCAGGTCTCCTACATGGGTGGCAGAGGCCTGTGTACTCAGGCTGTCTTCCATAGCTTTCCCATGAACAAGGTACTGGATAAAAGCAGAGCAGCTATGACTGGAAAGGGCATCCATGAGTGATGCCAGTGTCGTGGGCAGTGGCTTAATGCCATGCACTAGGATGCCATCCTTCCTCTGCATCACTGTTGCCTGCGCTATTCCATTCAACATATGCCTGCCAATGATTCACTTATGTTTACTCGTTCTCCCTCAACTAGAATGTAAGCTCCGCGAGAGCGTTGTGCTCATCTCCACGTGCGTGACCAATGCCGGTCTGAACCTAGGAGCTAGGAACTTGTTCCAGGTCTCCCACGCGGATGCAGCAACCCAAGGCTTTGGGCCATCCTTGACTGCTTTCCCAGGCCACAGGCAGGGAGCTGGATGGGAAGTAGGACTGCCAGGATTAGAAATGAAGCCCATATGGGATCCTGGCATGTTCAAAGCAAGGATTTTAGCCGCTAGGCTACTCTGCTGGGTCCATGAGCCACTTTTTGAAATAAGAAGATTCAATCTGGGAAGGGGAGTGACTCAGTAAAGCTCGCCTAACAGGTGGCACTAGAAGTCAGCGCTGTGGCTGGGAAGGGCTCAGCTGCTGCATGGTGTGATGGGCCACCCATACCATCCGGAGCAATCTCTTCACAAAGCTCACTGACTATGGATGCGAATCATATCTACAAAAATACCTGCACAGCAAACCCTAGATTTCTTCTTTTTTTTATTTTTGTTTTTAAAGAATAATTTTTATTTGAAAGGCAAATTTTTACAGAGAAGGAGAGATAAAGAAGGTCTTCCATCCCCTGGTTCACTCTTCAAATGGCCGGCAGCCAGGCACTTCTTCCTGGATTTTTTTTTTTAAGATTTATTTATTTCCATTGCAAAGTCAGATATACAGAGAGAAGGAAAGACAGAGAAGATCTTCTGTCCGATGATTCACTCCCCAAGTGAGTGCAGTGGCCGAAGCTGAGCCGATCCGAAGCCAGGAGCCAGGAGCCTCTTCTGGGTCATCCACATGGGTGAAGGGTCCCAAGGCTTTGGGATGTCCTCAACTGCTTTCCCAGGCTACAAGCAGGGAGTTGGATGGGAAGTGGGCTGCCGGATTAGAACCAGTTCCCATATGGGATTCTGGTGTGTTCAAGGTGAGGACTTCAGCTGCTAGGCCACTGTGCCAGGCCCTTCTTTCTGGATTCATACATGGGCACAGGGGTCCAAGGGCTTGAGTCATCTTCTGCTGCTTTTCCAGGCCATAAACAGGGAACTGGATCTGAAATAAAATAGCCAGGACAGAAACCAGCCCTCACATGGGATGCTGAAGCCTATGGGTCGAGGATTAGTCTGATATGTTACTGTGCTGGTCCCTAGATTTATTTTTCAGTAACTAGATACTGGAACATAACCAAGTTAACACAGAACTGACCATGGGATTGTTCTGCTTCCTGTCCCTGCAGCCTTATGCTCTGCTGGTTTAGAAGTCTCCATTCCAAGGGGAGGAACATTTCCACCGTAAGATGCAATGCCGAATCCGTTCAACTGGAAGTTAAAACTGCCACCTGTCATTTTGGGCTCTTCATACCTCTGAACCAACCAACCAGCAATGAAGGGAGTTACCCTACCACCAGGGGGAATGAAGGAAGGAAATGTATATGCAATGAAGGAAGGAAGTGTATTTAGAATACGGGAAATTCTTAGGATATCTTTAAGTACTACCATGCCCTGTAATTAAAACAAGGAATAAAATCGGGTTTTTTTTTTTTGAAGTTTTTTTTTTTTTTTTTTTTTATTGGAAAGGTGGATATACAGAGAGGAGGAGAAACAGGAACCAGGAGCTTCTTCTGGGTCTCCCATGCAGGCGCAGGGTCCCAAGATTTTGGGCTGTTCTCTGCTTTCCCAGGCCACAAGCAGGTAGTTGGATGGGAAGTAGAGCAGCTAGGACATGAACTGGAGCCCATATGGGATCCTAGCACTTGCAAGGTGAGGATTTAGCCATTGAGCCATTGTGCTCAATGGCTAAATCCTCACCTTGCAAGTGCCTGACATTCCTGCCTTACGGCCCTCTGCTCCCTTTTTAACAGTGTGTCCAGAGTGGGAGCTACTTCACACACACTAGTCCCATCAAGGTGACGTTATCTGTGTAGTACATGCATGTGCTAGCTTGTGGAAGGCAAAGATGCTCAAAGTCCCTGTGAATTATGTGCTAGTGTGAGGCTGGGGAGGTGATACACACTGACAGGTCAGTGAGGGTACACTGATGATCTTGACAGCTGCCAGGCACCTGTTTCTGATGGCCTCTACACGCAGGTATTGAGGAGACACATTTGCCAAATCCTGAGCCGTGTATCGCATGACACAGGGGAGGTGTCGAATTGCTCAAGCAATGAAACCACATCTGGAACAGTACTTGCAATTCGAATCAGCCCCTTTATGCCCTTGTCTGAGATCTGTTTTCTATCCAGGCTGAGCAGGTGAATTAAATGAGGGTCATGGCACTTAGACTAAAATGTTCTAAGGTTGCAAATATCTGGTCTGGTGTTGTGATGCTCTGGGTCAAGTCCCAGCTGTCTCACTTCTGACCCACCTCTTGTTGATATACCTGACAAAGCAGAGATGGACCAAGCCCTTGGGTCTTTGCCACCCATGTGGAGACCAAGCGGTAGTTTCAGGCTCTTGGTTTCAGCTAAAGATTGTGGCCATTTGGGAGCAGATGTTAGTAGATTCTGTCTCCCTGTAACTTGCTTTGCAAATAAATACAATAGATCTTCAAGAAAAGAGGTAAATAAAAAATTTAAAAATACATCAAATACAGACCTTGCCTATAATAAGTTTTTGGAAGAAGTCAATATCTGTATTTCGTAATCTATAGTCATGCCATGCCCCTGATTAAGACTACACTCATTACCACTGGAAATGGAGACATGAGTATCTTTAAATCTAGTTAAAGAACCAATCCCAGGAGCCTGGCACAGTAGTCTAGTGGCTAAAGTTCTCAGCTTGTATCTGCCAGGATCCCATATGGGTGCTGGTTCATGTCCCAGCTGCTCCACTTCATATCCAGCTCCCTGCTGGTGGCCTGGGAAAGCGAAGGAGGCTGGCCCAGAATCTTGGGTCTTTGCATCCATGTGGAAGACCTGGAA